AATGTAAACAAAAATCTGTAATTTGCGCTATATGTCTGTTCAACCGTAATTCACCTCTTTCATATTAAGTGCACCCACACTTATTATGTATCAGTTTGTTCAGGAGAAACAGGGCTTTCATTTCATATCAAATATTTTTATATGAAACATAATTTATTATGAATAAAATAAAAAAAAGCGAGAATATATATATAATTTTTTATTTGTAGTTCTGTCTCACATTTTAGCTGTAAATGTCATACTAATGTTAGCATTTACTGCAAAAAAATGCACATATTTGGATTCAGCTAAGTCTCAACAGTAGCCCCCATTAACAGTTTTTACGGCGTTTTGGAAAGTTAAAGGGTCAAATATAGCACATTCCATTTTTCCTTTTTTTCACATTGAAATTTGCCAGATTAGTAACGTTACCTTTGAGACCGTATGGTAGCCCAGGAATAAGATGTACCTCCATAATGGCATACCATTTGCAAAAGTAGACAACCCAAGGTATTGCAAGTGGGGTATGTCTAGTCTTTTGTAGTAGCCACTTAGTCACAAACACTGGCCAAAGTTAGCATTCATTTTTGTGTGAAAAAAGCAAAAAACAAATATTTGGCCAGTGTTTGTGACTAAGTGGCTATTAAAAATGACTAGATATACCCCATTTGCAATACCTTGGGTTGTCTACTTTTGCAAATGGTATGCCATCATGGGGGTCATTCTTATTCCTATGCTACCATACGGTCTCAAAGGCAACATAACCAATCTGGCAAATTTCAATGTGAAAAAAATGAAATGCAAGCCTTATATTTGACTCTCTAACTTTCCAAAACACCATAAAAACTGTGCAAGGGGGATAATGGGAGACTTCACTGAGCACAAAAATTAGTGTTTTAAAACAGTAAAACATATTACAACAATAATATTGTCAATAAAAGTGCAGTTTGTGTGTGAAAAATGCAAAAAAGTCACTTTTACTAAAAATATCATTGTTCTAATACAAGTTACCATTTTGAAACACTAATATTTGAGTTCAGCGAAGTCTCCTGAGTAAAACAGTACCGCCCATGTACAGGTTTTATGGTGACTTGGAAAGTTACCGGGTTAAATATGGTGCTTGCAATTCAAATTCTCTGAACTTTCTGCATGGGTTGTCAGGCATGTCAATCAAATTTGAATTAATTAAATCACATAATTATGTTAAAATATTACTTAAATATACACGTAGAATTTTAATATATATATACATATTTATGTATTTAATGTCTACGTGTTCACTTATGTAGTTATTTATGTAATTATATATATATATGTTTTCTATGTTATTTGGGTCCCTTGAGTATTTGGAAGAGCAGGGTGGCCGATTCTCCACAGTCAGAGTGGCTTTGCATGAGTCCAGCCCAGGTTTTCTGAGGAGTTCTAGCTCACTGCTTAACGAGGCCATTAGCCTCACCTGTAGGGGCTGTGAGAAGATTTATAACTGCTGTTAAAGGGGGGAAGTGTTTTGTGGAGAAAGAAGGTTTTCTGCCATTTGTAAGCATTGCAGCTTTGTATATCCTGTTGTATCCTGTTGTATCCTGATGTACCTGGCTACTTCTTAATAACAGAAAATAAACAGGCCAGAGGCCTTTGAAACTGGACTTTGTCTTGACCTGGCTTCCTCACCCTAGAGGACTGTGCAGTTCTGGACAAACACACACAGGGAAGTAAGTTTGTCACATATGATTGTGATAAGTGATGTCTAGGATGCTCATTTGACCCTGGGATTACTGTATAACCTTGTAGAGGATCCCTCTTCAATTAGCAATGTATTGAACGATTGCGGGCTCTCCCTGTAACAAACATAACTCAATGATACTAAATCTTTTTAATTCACTAAATACCTTACCACCAATGGTTCCCATGATGGAAATGCCGCACTGTTCCTTTTTACCAAATGCAATGAATATTGTTCAGGTTGGCAATACTTACTCTCTATCACCCAGAAGCCTTATATCAAGACTTCCTTTTTTACTAATCTGGAAAAGACTTCCATTTCCATCAAAACTGAAATCGTCCTCATCTGTACATCTCCATTCTTTAGTGATTGTAAAAATTCCTTTGCCTGTAGCTGTTGGAATAGGGATTAGTCCTTTTCTAAATAATAAGAAACACAAGTTAAGCATTAGTAACAATGTCCAGTCATTAAGACCCTATACACTGACAGATGTTTAGTTTGGACACTTTAATCCACTTAACTGCTAATCCTAAAAACTGGAGTAGTACTAGTGAGAGATTTCATTAGGATAGAAACTGCCATAGATAAAGTGGAACACCTGTTTTAGTATTTATTGAGCTGTGAATTTTTAAGGCATTACTGAGACCTCCTCTAAGTTATTTCACTCAGGTCTTATTTACTCTTTTCACAAAACTGTAATGACGTTTTATCAAGGCCATTAAAAGCATTTGAGAATTTGGTACATACATATACATTTTTCCAGTGCTACTATTCATGACCAATTCTATCCTATAATGTAGAAATCTACCCATTTTGTACACAGCTAATTGGAAAGCTATAAGCTGACTACCCCTGTAGCTTTCCTGCACTGATATGTCGTGTCTACATAGGTAATTGAGCTGCTCACACCTGCTCATACGCAGAGCTGGATTGAACCCCAGGGTTCAAGTTTAGCCCCTTTCTAACACCTTGGATGATTTAGCATCATGCGAGCTGGAGGCAGAGAGAACACTAGTAACAGTGGAACAGAATGGTTAGGGAGGGTCTAAGGGACTGATAATGGACGCTTATAAACAAATACATTTTGTGGGACAGCAGGTTATTACAACCACAAATAATAGTTTTTTGTTTTTTTTTACACTCAGTCACACTATGATGTATTAACAGGGTTCACCTAAGGGAAATAATCTGGAAGAGTAAGTGTATAGATCAGACCCGGACAGGCCATCTGGCAAAAAAATTGCGTGTTTGCACACACTTTCTCACTCACTACAGCCCTTAGCCACACATATTACACCACAAACACAATACAACTGAAATCAATATTTACACAAACCACAACACAATCATCTCACTCTACACACACGTAATCCCACAAGCAGGCTCCAGACACATGCACAATATGCTTTCCTGTCCCTTTTGTCCTCTGGTATCCCACCTATGGAGACACCAGCGACAAGTCACAAGCAAACACAGTGCAAGTGTTTCATTAAATTAAATTCAACTGTACTGTGCAGAACAAATATAGAGCTTTTTTCTCGTGCGTGAGCTCTTCAGCATGGCTATGCTCATGGGCTGCCCTGGAAGAGCATTGAAGCAATATACTCACCTGCTTGTCATTGGTGTTGACAAAACACGCCCATCTCTGGCCCCACCCCCTTCGCAGTGGGCTGCTGTCAATCAAAAATGCCCAGGCCAGATATTTTTTTTCCCTAATCCTGGTATAGATTCATGTTTCCATATAGAACTCTACACAGTCACCACAGCAGTCAAAACTCAACTTAACATTGTGTTCAGCCCACAAAAAGTCACAGATCTCATTATTGATTGATGGCTGGACCCAATGATTGGGCCTCCCTAGTTGTAGTCCTAGGTGCCATACAGGCATAAATGACATGACACCCTGCATTTTGCATTGGTGGCCATGTTGGTTGTAAACTAACAAACACTTTTATGAAGATAAAGATAGCTATTAAAGCATTAGTAACACTCAAGAATTAAAAAATATATTTTTACTGTTGGAGTGTACTTTAATTTTAACAGCATGTTTCCCCCTCACATGTTTTTTAAAATAAAACCTTTTTTTGTTTGTTTGTTTGTTTCGTTTTTTTTCTGTTTACTTTCCTTCCATCCAGGACGGGTTTGTTAGGCAGCTGCTTCTTCTCTTCTGAGATCATCCTTAGGGATGGTCTCTGGCCCAATCCAATGTTTCTGGTCCAACTGGGCATGTCCGACAATCACTGTGCTTCTGAAGCATCCAAAGCAGTCAGTATGTACGCCAGTGGTGTGGCAGTACAGACTGCAGAGAATTTGAAAGTATGATCTGGCTGCTTAATCTAATCATACTTTGATTTCTCCACAAAAAGTATAGTTTGTAAGAAATTCCAACCAAGTACAAGAAAACCAGGCCAAAGCACAAACATTACTGAAGAACAAATACAATTTCAATGCAAACCATGTGACGGCTGAATTCAGAATTCATCTCCAGCAGAACCCCATCTCTAATAACAGATAGAAACACCCATTTCATGGAGCCAACAACCACATAACAATTTTGTTTCTTTTCCAGAGATTTTATAATAATACATTTTACATCAGTGGTAAACACAATGGGTAAAAAAGTAAATATACTCACGTTATTATAGAAAAATGAAGGTGTGCTTCAAACACCAAGGTTATCATGCCACTTGAAGATATACCTATTAATGCTAACTTAACAACTATACTATCAATCATGATCCTACAAAAATAGAGAAGAACAGGTTAAACATTATATTTTAAGAAAGCAAAGTGAGTGAAGTGAAATGAAACGAAACAGTGGATAAACAAAATGAAAATGTAATCCTAAAAATTATAAACTGCCTTAATGCAATAGACTGAATTGCATGTTTATTTAACCCCTTAAGGACCAAACTTCTGGAATAAAAGTGACTCATGACATGTCACACATGTCATGTGTCCTTAAGTGGTTAAAGAACATATTATCAGCCTTCCATTTAAGGCTTACTCCAAGCACTATGAGCACTTCAGTGACTTGAAGTAGTCATGGTGCTTGATGTCTGTATGTGTAGAATTACAGTTTGCTGCTGGAAGTGTAAGTCTGGCTCAGGGCCGGCCTTAGGGGTGTGTGAGCTGTGTGGTTCACTGGCTTTGCATGTCTTCCTGAGTTGTGTTTCAAAGTTGTTGTGTACAGCAAACACAGACTCACAGGAATCCGTGTTTAAAATGCAATGAGGTAAAAATTAGAATCATTTGCAGTAGTAACATCACAGCATATTTGTGATTTCTGTGGGAAAAGCAAAACTGATGGCTTGTGTGTATATACTGTATATATGTATGTGTGTGTGTATATATATATATATACACACATACATATATACAGTATATACACACATATATATATATAAAAAGCAGAGACCTTGGCACTCACCTTTACTATTTCCAAAAAAAGATTAATCCTTACCTGGGTGCAATCCACAGCGTTTACCATATAACAAAAAGCAGTATATAAGATCTTGAAGAAGACCCTGTGAGGGTCGAAACGTCGATTGCTCAAAATTTGCCCATGTAATTTGCATCAAAGAATAAATTAGATTTTGGATGAAGACCTGTGAGTGCTCCTTATATACTGCTTTTTGATATATATATATATACACACACACACACATATATCAAAAAGTGTGTTACTTGGAAAAAATAAAAGTGCTGTATATCTGACATTTTCCGACAATCTAGCTTTTAGCCTCATGGTCTTTATATATATATTCAAAATGTCAATGTAAGGCTGTTAACTAACCAATACACTGCAAAAATAAAGAATTCTATTACAAAAAAAGTGTGTGGACACCTCTTGTAATTATTAAGTTCCATTGTTCCAACCATCTCCGTTACTTACATGTCTATTAATAACAACTCATGAAATCTCCATAGACAAACATTGGTAGTACAATGGGTTCTACCGAAGAGCTCAGGGACAATTGTGAAATGTGGAAGACTAAGGGCAAGAACAGCCCAGCCTCAAAGTGGTATACCACACATAGTTACAAAGCATGCTGAAGCATGTAGAGTTGAAAAAAAAATTGCCTGTGAACTCACTCACTATAGATTTGCAAATGGCTTCCAGAATTAACTTCAGCAGAAGAGTTTTGCAACAGGAGCTTCATGATGTCATGGATTTCCACGAATGAGCAGCTATATACATGCCTCACATCAACATGCACAATGCATAGTGTGGCTGGAGTGGTGTTATGTACACCACCAGTGGTCTCTGGAGCAGTGGGAATGTGTTTTCTGGAGCCATGAATAACATTTCACTTTCTAGCAGTTTGATGGAAGAGTAAGGATGTGGCGAACATTACCTTCCAGAATGCATAGTGCTTATTGTACAGTTTACCACATAGACCCAGTCCATTATCCCTTCTCCACCAGAGTTTGAAGAAAGCCTCTTAATTCTGATAAAAGGTCATCCTAATGTTGCAACATACAAAGACATTTCATACATTTTTTGTGGAGGGTCCTGCCACATACTCTTCCATCATGACTGTGCCCCTGTGTGAAAAGAGTGGTCCTTAAAGAAATGATTTAACAAGTTTGGTGTTGAGGAACTCAAGTGCTCTTCAGAAAGCCCTGACCTCAACCCTACTGAACACTTTATATGATGAATTAGAATGCTCATATAGGATTGATAGTCATGTGTCCATATACTTTTGTGAATGTAGTGTTTAGATGTAGGTACTGAGAGTTAATATAATAAGCACATATTATCCACCTCTCCATCCACATTTAAATAATAGTACTTACTCTGAGAAGCCTGTGGATTCAAATGTCAGCCAATTGAGTTCGATAAAAAATAGTTCAGCTTCTGCATGTTCTCTAAAGACTGCATTATAATGACAACATGATTTTTTTTAAGTATTGTTTAATGTAGCTAATATAAAAATACTTCCATACTGCAACCATAAGTAAGAGGTTTTGTTAAATTGACACATTATGATACAGATACTTTTTGTGTCAAACTGGAATGATAAGACATAGTAAAATAAATTCAAGTAAAACAAACCTAAATCTGAACAGTTCAGCTATTCTGCACATTCGCCTGGGCAACGAAAGCGTTCATTTAAAAGTTCTACAGCTATCTTTACAATAATAACACTTCTAAGGCTCGCTTCCAGTCTTGCTGGCAAATAGGTACTGTAAATTTTCTGTAATAAATATGAACTGTAATTTTCAGCAATAAATATTTACAGACAGATCTCTCAGCCTGCTCATCTGCATTTTGCAGACTTTGCAGGTCTACCTTAACCCCTTAAGGACACACATGTCATGATTCCCTTTTATTTCAGAAGTTTGGTCCTTAAGGGGTTAAGCTAAATACAAGAGTCCTCCAGCTACCCAGAAACCACTTTCTGGGGATGAAGGTACTTAGATTAGGCATTAGTTGTGGTATAAGAGTCAGTGTAGATAGTGGAGGTAGAGAAGATGAGGTGTGCTGAGGTGTGCTGGCATGAATAGTGGGCTTAGTGTGGAAAGGTATATAGGAGGGAGGAGAAGAACTAGAGGGAGGAGATGAGGGATGGAAGAATGGTTTAGAAACAAATAGTGGGACAGTGGTAAAAGGACAGAGGAAGAACCCTTGTTGAACCAGGCGGACAAGGAAAGGTAGCCATCCCTAATCAGGTATATGAAGACCATAGCATATGGAACAGCCTATGTCTGTGCAGGGTGGGTGTCAAAGACTTAAGGGTCAGAACAGAAGGGAGAGAAAGGGGTTTCTGGGATTCTGGCATGAGGGCCAGACAGAGATAAGAGAGGTGTTCTGGTGAGAAGGAGGTCCAGGTAGAAACATACCACATGCATTCAATGGAGAAGCAGCTGGCTCCGCATGGAATTATGACCATAGCAGGCACAGGGGACTGAATGGATGTCCTGGGGAGTGGATTCTAGCAAATGCTGCTGCTTTTTCCCTAGTGCATCTGGCTCTCAGCCTGTCACTGAAAATTTGAAACCGCTGGCAGAAAGGAAGCTCTACTTAACAACTTAATTTACATAAAGAAGGGACATTTAAAATGTATAAATCTATATGTCCAGGCAAAACAAGATCAAGGTGGAAAAGGCTCCTTACGTATCGTTTAGGGGGATTGGATAAAAAATGTTTTAATAGAATTGCACAAGTGGTCTAAAAATTCACTTACACCTTGAAACTTTGCAGTAGTTGCAGTCTGCATCTGATGTTGGAAGGAAATATCCAAATACAAAGACCAGGCAAATAATCTTCCACATGTTCAGTCTGATAATCTGCATAGTTGTGGGAAATTCAAGTTGAACTATTATAGTTTAACATTTGTCTTTATAAATAAGTTGATTTAAAGCATTTTAGTTCTAAAACTGTTGTCTAACAATTGATGTTAAAATGTCAGCTGATGAGTTTCCTCAAAGTTGAATACAGTACATGTAGATTTACTGCTTCTTCATGTGCTACACAACCTCTCTCTGTTGGTGTTCCTCAAGGTTCTGTCCTTGGTCCCATACTATTTTACATCTACACTGAATCCCTTGGTAAACTGATCAGTTACTTTGTCTTCCAATATCACTTCCATGATGACACACAAATATGTCGGTCTTCTCTGCCCCTCCTGAATTACGTCTCCAATTACCTCTATTTATAATTGCGTCTCTCAAAAAGAGACCTTCTCGTCTACCACCCCTGTATCCATCTCCCTCCAAGTCAAGAGCACTGCCATCAGTTATACCTCACAGGCTTGCTGCCTTGGCATTCTCCTAAATTCCAACCTCTTCTTCATCCCATTGTAACATATTCCTCCTCACCTTGTGGTATTCGCGCCCAGCGGCCATGCATCTGTATCAATGACTCTTGACATGTTGATGGATGCCGGCCTCTGCGGATCCACACCAAATTGTACCCCCATGTCCGCCCATGTTAATGACAATGTGGGCGTCCCCGTGACGTCAAGCGGGAGACACGTTTTGGGGTCAAAGGCCGTTTTTGTAAAGCACCTATTTAAACTCAAATTTACTTTTCCTCATTGCCCTGTCGTGGTTTCCCTAGTGGTTGCCTGAGAGTGTGTTCCTCAGTATTTATTTCTGGTTTTCAACTTTGGCTTTGTTTGATTTCCCTGTATTCTGGTATCCCTGACTTCTGGCCCCTCCCCCCCAACCTCGGCAAGTATTCTGACTATTCTTTGGTACGTTAAGTCCTGCCATTCTAAGGCCCAATAAGACATTACCTTTTAGTCCTAGGTGTGATACAATTCTACGTGCTGGATCAATCAGTAATCCTACAGTATAGTACATAAGGCACCTAATATCTCCCTATCTCCTCCCCAGCAGTTTGATGGTAATGTACAAGAATGCTGGGGATTCTTAAATCAAATTGATGTAAATAGAAAAAATCTACAGAACAGAAGAAATAAAAAACTAATAGAGTAGTACAGCCAATATACATCAAATCACCGCTAATTAAATTGCACTCACAGACATAAATTGATAGTAGGCGTATCTCAAAAATGGAGAGATGAAAAGGGATCCTCAGCATGGATATATGGACATGTAAGAGAGAGATAAACCACAAATAAGTGTAGATGGTAAATGGATAAACCCTGCACTATAATCAATTACACTTACAAATTTGTAGTGATATAAGAGCATATCGTTAGATATCATCCACAGCCTTCCTCCTCCAGTTGATGGTAAATAAGAAGGGTAAGAAGGATACCGTGACTAAATGATAAAACTATTTATTAACATAAATAAATCAAAACAAATAAACAGACTAAAATAAGTAAACAAACTAAAAGCTCTCTCCACAATCGTCCAACCCTACGCGTTTCGTCCTTAGTAGATCGGACTTCCTCAGGGGTAATTGTTATCAGGATCTCACGTGCAGCATCATCCTTCTCTTTTCGGCGTGGTTAAATAACCCGATCAAACTCCCGCCATAATCAGCCTCCAATCAGCGCCACGCTATTCCGGCTGTATTTGCAGCGTTCCAAGCCTCGTTTTCATATAGCGTTCTTGTGCGCATGTGTACAATCGTCACTTTGAAAAAAATTGCACGGTCGATCCAAAAATCCATGTAAAGTCCTCCCTTCCTCCATAAAACAATCCCAAGAGGCTCATAAAACATAAATAGCACATAAAAAAGAGAAATATTATACTCCATGAAATCAATCATAATAGAAACAATATTTAAAAAATTAATGTGTATCAGAACAAAAAAGAAAAAGATAAAGATATCCTCGTGATATATATATCCACACCCTTGCTAGAGACACCAAGAACTTATCTATATCATCTGATTTATCAGAAAAACTCTAAAAAGAATCATACTTAATAATATCAATAGAAGCCTACTTTTAAATCTGAAAAACATCTGGAATTA